ACCACCACCACATCTCTTAAGTAAAGGTCAAGTTCAAGCTGGAAAAAGACTGAACCCCAGAGGTAAAATCCAGCAATCCAAAGTAGTGAAGATGGGGGGACTAATTTATAAAGTGAGGACAGAGAACCTGAAGTATATTATTTGATTGATAGTTACGAAGTTATCGCAAGACATTACCTGATTGTTAGCTACAACATTAGATTTGTGGTAGGCAGGATTTTCTTTAGCAGGAGTTGTACAGGATTTGGCTTAAAGAGGCCATATGGTCTTTCTTAGATTGGTTACATCACAAAGGTATGTGACAGGAGAGAAAGTTGCAAGTTTGTTATGTCATTATTACTGGACATTACTTTCTTAGAGCATGCAGAGGCAGAACCTTTTCTGGTAAATATCTGCATAAGGGAATTAGATAAGGCTTAGTGTCAGGGCCTTCTCTCAGAGATTGTTTCTACACCCTTCGTTTTATTACAAAGTGAAAACATTCCCTTAGTGTCATGATTAGGTTAGCAAGCTGTTGTTAGGGTGAAAATGGAATTAGCAAAAGGCAGTCACATCCTGACTTCAGATGTTGAGGTACCTCAATTTTAAATTCCCTTACCCATAAGGAGTTAATAGATTTTAAACTTCTTTTTCTAACCTGTTCTGTTTAGTGTTTTGTGATTAGTAATCTAGTAAGAGTATGGATTGTACCTGAACATTAAGAAGTCATTTTTAAAAATCCTCTTAACTGTACCAATGAATAAAATCATGACAATTGGAGAGACTATTTTAGTTTTTCAGGATTTCTTTGTACTTGAATCCATAATATCCATGGAAGCAGCATTCAAGACATCAAATGACCTAAAGAAAGTGTTTTTAAAAAACCCCAAAGATTTCACTTTGAGGACTAAGGTGCTCCTGACCCAAGCCATGGTATTTTCAGTCACTTCATAAGCATGTGAACATTGCACAGTGAATAAGGAAAACCAAAGGATTGATGCCTTTGAATTATGGTTTTGACAAAGAGTATTGATTACACCATGGACTGCCTGAAGAACTAACAAATCTGTGTGGGAAGAAGTATAGACAGAGTGTTCCTTGGAGGTGAAGATGGTGAGACTTCATCTCATACACTGTGGACGTGTTACCAGGAGGCAACAGTTCCTGGAGAAAGACATCATGTTTGGTATAGGGTCAGTAAAAGAGGAAGTCCCTCAATGAGATGCATTGAAACAATTCCAGCAACAATGGACCAAAACATAGTAACGATTGTGAGGTGACACAGGACTGGGTAGTGTGTCATTCTATTATACACAGAATGAATCACTAGGAGTCAGAATGGACTTGAGGACATGAAACAACAGCAACCCACTGAAAGGCTCACAGATTGACATGTGGAGAAATGTACTAGTTGGTGATTCTGTAGAAGTCTAGATTACATAAAGAGCAGAAAGATGCTGCAACTATTACCTGCCTGTCTGAAAGCATTTAATTTTGACATATTAATATAAAAGTTTGAAGTTAATGGGAAATCAGTTTGACACTGTTAACACTGAGTAAGCTGTAATGTTTCGTATGGAAAGTGTCATTCACCAGGTCAATGTTACTTACCAAATGGAACTGAAAGCAAGATGGTCAGAAAAAGATTATCCTTCTCAAGCCAGTTTTTGAAGCCTTGGCGTTAGGATCCCTGGTGGCACAGTGTTTAAAGTGCTCAGTTGCTAACTGATATGTTGGCAGTTCAAACCCAGTAGTCATTGCAATGTAAAGATGGTAGTTTGATTCTGTAAAGCTTTATAGCCTAGAAACTCTTTGGAACGGTCCTATTCTGGTCTACAGGGTTCTCAATCAGAATCAGCTCCACGCAGTGGGTTTCATTTTTTAGTTTTAAGCATTATTTACCACCTTAAAATGGGATTCTGGCATCTTGATTTTAATGTGTTCTGAAAAGAAAGTATGTGACTTATGAAATAAAGGACACTAAACCAAAATTTTGAAACTATGAAAACTTTAGGCCAAAGAGGTAAAATAAAAACAGCTGTTGGGAATGAAAAATGGCTGTAGGAATTTAGTTACAAGTACTTCACAAAAACATTTTCATCACATTTACATAATGCAGCATTACAATACAAAGCTTGCAGCTGTAGTGACCAAGCATGTTTTCTTATCTAACAAAAATAACTTAGATATATTCTCTTTGCGTGGAATTGTCATATATGTTTCCATTTTGGTACAAAACTTAGAAATAAACATTGGCACATTATGTAGTGACAAACCATTTTTTTTTCCTTCCCTTCCCATATACGAGTTCCAAGGGTTCTGCATTCCAATTTTTATTTGAAAAAAAAAACCCAACTTTTGATTCAATTAATTTACTTTCTCTGTTTTTACCTCTTTGAAAGTGCAGCTTGGAGTACAGAGAATTTGAAAACAACAACAAAAAAACCACAAAGATGATTTTGTTCACTGAATTTCTAGTATCTATAATACATACAGAAAGGTTGGCTGGGTAAAAGAGAAAGGAAAATCTCCAGTCTGACATTAATGCAGATCACAGAAAGTTGTGAAAAGAGCTGTATAAAAATATGCACTTGTGCTTTAGAAGCTTTTAGCATACACTTAATGCTTAAAATAGTATTTACTGCCTCTCTATATGCCTATTTTCTGATATATTTACACATGTTGTGATTTTTTTTTTGTACATTATTAAAGCAAAACAGCATGATCTCAAATATAGATAGGTTAAAAACATTTGAACCTTGAAACTTCCCCTCTCCCCTCCCCAAATATACACGTACAGATGGGACATGGCACAACATGCTCCATGGACTTAACCCAGAAAATTTAGATTGTCTGAATAAAAATTTTAAACAGCAAATGTATATAAATTTGTTTCTTTAAAAAAAGCTTGTCCAAGGGCATTCAAATTTAATGGCTTTTATATAATACTTAGTATAGTGCCTTGTGGCTGCCTCTGTAAGCCAGAATTAAGGGAAGCTCATGGATTCCCTCCAAAATAAGATGTCATTGCCATCCCCATGGTGCATGGCTTTGGTTAGGATGCCTCCCTTACAGGAAAGAGGATTGCACAGGCTGCTGCTAGCAGTCTTGAGAGCACTCCCCAAGCCAAGGCTGTGTTCTCACCCAATAACACGGGTGACCAGTAGAACCATCTAGCTCTGGAGGCTGGGATGCTAACTGCTTTGCTATTAGTTTGACCCCAGTTGTTTTGCTCAGTTTAGTTTTTTTCTTAGATATTTCTGTTCAAGATGGGCTTCTTATGTATGAATCCTTCAGACTGATGCTCTTGAGAATAAAAACTTAACAGTGATGGTGATTTTATGGAAAGAGACGAGCTGAACTTAACTGGCCATCGTCCAGTGTGATGGGCTCACATGCACCATGTCTCTGCGTTTTGGTGTCCTATGAATTATGATGAATCAGCTCCACGGTTTGACAAGGACACATGGATGGCAGCAAAGCAAAGTAATTTGCCAAGTATTTGTTCTGCTCCTAAGTGATTGTTGGAAAAAAAGCAACCACTTTTCTTTATGGAACATACATTTCTAAAAATGAGATTTGGGGACTTGAATGATTCAAGGTCAAATATTAAACATTAGCTTCTTAACCTACGTCTGTCACTGTCATTATAAAGGGACGCCTCTTGCTTGCACTACTGTGATTCACAGTGCCGTTTGTAGATCAAGAGGTCCTGTTCTCTGGTTTGGCTTTAGTTGTCGGATGGAAGCCTCAGACTTTTGCACTTTAGGTCATCCAATGTCTTCCAGTGTTTGTAGTTATCTGCTAAATGTTGCATCAGGGCTGGCAGATGTGCAAAGGCTGCAGGGACAGAAAAGAAGCCTACTGAGTTATTAGATCACAGGGGCATTTTTAAGGCGGGGCTGGTAAGCGCAAATTTAAGATTAGGATTAGAAGAGTTGGTGGTGGTGGTTATGTGCCGTGGAGTCGGTTCCAAGTCATAGCGACCCTGTACAGGGTTTCCGAGGCTGTAAATCTTTACAGGAGCAGAAAGCCTCATCTTTCTCCCGTGAAACAGCTGGTAGTTTCGAACTGCAGACCTTAAGGTTCACAGCCTGATTCATAACCATGATGCTACCAGAGGTCGTAGAAGAGTGGTACCATGGATGAATACACTTTAAGCTTGAAGTGAATGAGAAGATGCCATTGAATACTACAGATTGTCCCCATATTACAAATGCATTCCATTCTTACCTTGGTCTTTAAGTTGAGTGTGTATATAATTCATAACAGGCACTGTGTTCACCTCTAACATCAGTTAGTCAAATGTTTATCGTAGTATAAAGTATATAGTGCATACTTACATAAAGTATATAGTGTACATTTCTATGCATAAAAAAATTAAACAGTTCAAGATACACAAAACCAAATACAGTAATAATAATGTTTTTATGTGCATTGCAAAGTGTTATCTGTTATTATAAACCATTGTATGTACATCCAACTTTTAATAGCTGAGGTGGGGGGTGTTAGTTTGTAACTACTGTGGGGGTTGTACTTAAGTTGGATGGTCATTTGGAACTCGGGGACTACCTGCAGGTTCTGGAATACAGACTCTTTTAATTAAAAATGGAAAATCAAGTTTATTAGTGGCATTTTCAAAAGAACTTGTGACTTGAGTAGATCAGTACATTCTGCTTGCTTTCTAGAGGTTCCTCTCTAATGACAGAATATAACTGCTGTAAGCTCTAGAAGCATGTTCTTTGAAGAGGATAAGACTTGTTTATCCAATTATCAAACATCTAACGTGGCTTCTGTCTACAAAGCACTGTGTCAGGGAATGTTAAATGCACACATGCATCCTGCCTTGACCACAAACAGCTGAAAGCTAACTTTTCTTGTGTAACATTTATCTATAGTTACATCTTAGATCATTAAAGGTAATCATCATAAACTGTAATAAAATATTCCTTATGGGTGACAAAACAAGAACAATCTTACCATCCCAAGCATCAAACATGTCTGTTATGAAGTAATCAATGAAGGAAATTTGGGACTTTGGGATGCTACAGCTGTTCCGGTCAAACACTGGCATCACCACAGGCAGCCCTTGTCTCTTCTCTTCATCCGTCTGTAAGAAATAAAGCAGACACCGGGCTCTGGGACACATGAGAACATCTTGCTGCTCAGAACAATCCTGAGAAGATGGGTCATTATCTAATTTGGCATATGAAGAAATGGAGCCTTCATGGTCCCGAGACTTACATAAGTCTGATGAACTTCAGTAGCATTGAATTCAAGTCTTCTGACTTTGCAGTCTCTTACATTGTTAGGCTATTTCAGTCCTTCCTGAACCTTTGATCTCAGGGTTCATTACCCCTTTTCTGTAATTTTTCTTTTATTATTTGAGTCTTTATTATAATCAGTATTTCTGTATCACTGTCATCTCAGAGGCGTTTTCCTAATCTCCCAAAAGTCCTCTGCTGGGCATCTGGAAAACCTACCTTTCAACTGCTTATGTTTCCATCCTGGAGTCACATTACCTGCGTTCAGATGTCTGCCTGTATTTGTTGTCTTCAATCTAGATAAGCACCTACTCTAGATGCTTATTTTTCCCTGAAAATTTCCCTTGCTACAAAGAAAGAGGCCATTTTCCCCGCTCATTTTTCTGTTTTTGCTTTCTGTGTTTTCAAAGAAAATAAATTCCATTGTTCCTGTTATCTCATTTGGTAACCCAGAAGGGTGGGAGGGATTAGGCAGAGACAGACCTGACTAGGGTTAGGGTCTTTCAGGCTGTTTTAGCAGTGTTTGTGCTCATTTCAACAATAGACTAAGCGCTTGTTATTGTTGCTGTTAAGTGCTGTAGAGTCACTTTCGACTCACAGCAACCCTGGATAGGGTTTCCAAGGAGCAGCTGGTGGGTTTGAACCGTTGACCTTGTGGTTCACAATCCAGTGCTGATCCTACTGTGTGACATCAGGAGTCTGTAGACGAAGCACTTACTTCAGGGCAGAACGAGACTATCGCAAATTAGGGAATCAATGAGAATTGAAGAAGCAGACAAGGAAGAGGTAAGACATTTAGCTCAATGAAAAGAAAAAGTGGAAAAGCCCTATGAATAGGTAGCAGAGTTGGTTCCTCCTTTTCATCTCTTAATGGGAAACATTTAACAAGCTTTATAAATAAACTGGGAGGGGGAACTATACAAAGAATCCTGTGTAGTCCTGCTTCCATACATGAATTTGTCTTCACTATGTGAGAGCAAGGAACACGTTTTTTACTGTGTTTAGAAAAGAAGTTATTTTCTGATCAGAAAAGAATATTGCCTACCTCGCTTACTAACTCAATCTAATGTTAGAATTGTCGATAGGAAATTCCTTCATCTGAATCCTTCATCTTGCAGCACATGGTCATTTTCTTGTGCTGGCCTCAACATTTACAATAGTTAACAAGCTTCTACTGCTTTATGCTGCTTATGCCACCTTCTCTTTGCCATTGCTTGTCTGTTTGTTGTGCTGTGGTGGCTTGTGTGTTGCTGTGATGCTGGAAGCTATGCCACTGGTATTTTAATTACTAGTAGGGTCACCCATGGTGGACAGATTTCAGTACAGCATCCAGACTAGGAAGAAGGAGACGTGGACCACTTCTAAAAGGTTAGTCACTGAAAACCTTATGAATAGCAGCTGTCACCATACTTATTCAATTTGTATGCTGAGCAAGTAATCCAAGAAGCTAGATTATATGAAGCTGAAGGTAGCATCAGGAGTGGAGGAACACTCATCAACAACCTCCAGTATATAGATGATACAACCTTGTTTGCTGAAAGCAAATAGGATTTGAAATACATACTACTGAAATACATACAGCCATTCAGTATGGATTTTACCTCAATTTAAAGATTTTACCTCACCTCTGGACCAATAAGTAACATCAAGATAAATGGAGAAAAGATTGACATTGTCAAGGACTTCATTCTTCTTGGATCCACCCTCAACACTCATAGAAGCAGCAGTCAAGAAATCAAATGACATATTATTCTAGGCAAATCTGCACAAGACTTCTTTAATGTGTTCAAGAGCAAAGATGTTAGTTTGAGAACTAAGTGTTCTGAGTTACCTGAGCCAAGCGATGGTTCTTTCAATAACCTCATATACATGTGCAGGTTAGACAATGAATAAGGAAAAGTGTAGCAGAACTGATGCATTTGGGTTACGGTGTTGGAGAAGAATATTGAGATACCATGGACAGCTAGAAGAACAAACAAATCTGTGTTGGAAGAAGCCAGAGTGCTCCTTAGAAGTCAGGATGACAAGACTTCGTGTCTCATACTTTGGACCAGTCCCTCAAGAAGGATATTGTGCTTGGTAAAGTGGAGGTTCAACAAAAAGAGAAAGACCCCCAGTGAGATGGATTGGCACAGTGGCAGTAACAATGAGCTCAAGAGTAACGACAAATGTGAGGATGGTACAGGACTAAGTATTGTTTCATTTTGTTGTGCATTGTGTCTCTATGAGTTGGAACCAACTAGACTGTACTTAATAACAACAAGGAATTGACGGGATACAAATTGAAATATTTCAGTAAAGTGGTGTAGTGCTGGAGGCCCTCACTCAGCTATGTCAAGAAATTCGGGAAGACAGCTGTCTGGTCAGGGACTGGAAGAGATCCATACTTATGCCCATTCTAAAAAAAGTTGACACAACAGAATGTGGAAATCATTGAAAAAATTATTAATATCACATGTAAAGTTTTGCTGAAAATAACTCAAAAAGCTGCAGTACATCAACAGGGAGCTGTTAGAAATTCAAGCCAGATTCAGAAGGGGACATGAAACAAGGTATATCATCACTGCTGGTGTCAGATGGATCTTGGCTGAATGCAGAGAATACCAGAAAGATGTTTTCCTGTGTCTTGTGTTTTACTAACTATGCAAAGGCATTCAACTGTGTGGATCATAACAAATTATGGGTAATATTGTGAAGAATGGGAATTCCAAAACACTTAATTGTGCTCATGCAGAACCTATACACTGAACAATAGATACTCACATGAATGGATCACAAGGATACTGAATGGTTACAAATCAGTAAAGGTGTGTGTCAGGGTTGTATTCCTTCATCTACTTATTCAATATGTATAATGAGCAAATAATCCAAGAAGCTGGATTATATGAAGAAGAACATGGCATAGGGATTGGAGGACACAGCCTTGCTTTCAGATAGAGAAAAGGACTTGAAGTACTTACTGATGAAGATCAAAGACCACAGCCTCACTATAGGTTGTATCCATAGTGCAAAGAAAACGAAAATCTTCTCAACAAGACCAATACATAGTATCATGATAAATGAAAAAAAAAAAGACTGAAGTTGTCAAAGATTTCATTTTACTTGGACCCATAATCAATGCTCATGGAACTACTCACCAAGAAATCAAAAGACATATCGCAAATATTCTGCAAAAGAATTCAAGTGTTAAAGGTCAAGATGTCACTTTGAAAACTAAGAAGTGCCTGACCTAAACCATGGTCTTCTTCAATTGCCTCATATATATGTGAAAGCTGGACAGTGAATACAGAAGATGGTCGAAGAACGGACACATCTGAATTATGGTGTTGGCAAAGAATATTGAAGTACCATGGACCGCGAGAGGAATGAACAAATCTGTTTGAGAAGAAGTATGGCTGGACGGCTCCTTAGAAGGGATGATGGTGAGACTTTGTTTCTCATACTTCCGACATGTTAGTAGGAAGGACCAGTCCTTAGTGAAAGGTATTATGTTTGTTAAGGTGGAGGGTCAATGCAAAAGAGCAGGGCCTCCAATGAGATGGATTGACCCATTGTCAGTGATAATGGGATGAAATAAAACAACTATTATGAGAAGGTCAGCAGGCCGTGTTTTGATTTGTTTACATAGGGTCACTATGAGTTGGAACTGACTTGGTGACATCTAACAGTCAAACAAAACAAGATAACCAAAAAAAAACCGATGAAATCTGCTAAAATATTGTCCTGCAGCATGGAAGGAGAATCCAAAAGATTAAGTTTATAGGTAATGGAAGGTAAATAAAGCTCTTCTTCTGATGTACTGTTAAGTTCAGGCTGTTAAATAAACCAGTTACAAATCTATATATCTCGTAGATAAAGGCTGTACACATAGATTTATCCAAATTCATATAACATTTATGTAGGTTGAATATTTAGATGGTCCATGCTTTTATTTACATTACAACTGTCTCACAAATATGAATTTGTACTTGACAGAAGTGGTGGCTGAGATTGAGAGAAATGAAGAAATTGTCTAATGTGACTCAGCAGTTTGCTGACAGAACCAAGAATAGAACCTAGATATCTGATTCACTGGTATGCTTGATCAAAAAACCAGTGGCTCTAATCAGGAGCATGCATCAGAATCACTTTGTTAAAAACGGGTCTGGACTGATTCAGTAGGTTTAGCGTGAGGCCTCCATGCACTTTTTTATCAGTTCCCCAGTTGATTCAGACATGTACCCTCGCTTAACAACTGCAGCCTTCTCAATGTGGGTAGTTCTAAGTATAATACACGTTAGGGCATATATTCATATGCATAAGGCTATATAGTCACTAAGCTGAATATTAAGACCCAGATTTCCTAGTGATTCACTGAGCTAGAGAGCAGGTCAGAGGTGTTAGCCAAAAGCAAGATTTGTATCTTTTGCCTTTTAGGTACTCTGTCTTGTGAACCTTAATAACATTGTTTTTTGGGAAACGGACATCTAAAGAGGGAACTTACATCAAAAACTTACAAGTAGTTCTTTCCTATTCCCCATTCACATGCTTTGAGAATAGGTAGAAATAGGGTTTCAACTCCTTCCTGTGAATCCCGGGAAATCCATTAATGGCCTCTTTTCAGCTTTTGGCTCAGCATCCTCATTCAGGTCAGTTGATCAAGTAGCCTTAAGATAACGTTTGTAGTTCCAGGGGTAGTTTCTCTCCCTTCTTTCTTCTCTGGACTACCTGCCCTACTTTTTTTCTTCAATTCAAATGCTCTCATCTCAGACTTGAAATGTGCAGTTAATTGACTGGGTCTTCTTCAGGCCATTCCCTCTCCCAACCAGTCTAGACACCATGAGCTATTTCTCCTGTGCAGTGGCAGCACCTTCTAGCCACAGACACTCCCCAACTTCAGTCCTTACAGCTTTGTATATGCCAGCACCTATCTGTTAGGTTTTCTATGTGTCACACACGTACGCATTAGTCCTTACAGTCTATTCTCTGGAAGTAGGAACTTTATTCAAATGGTATCTTGCTATCTATTATTTTCTACGTTTTCTTCTATTACTCCTGTTTATACTGCCACAGTCAAACTGAACTATATCTTACTACCTCCTTTATATAAAAACTACTTTCTCATCTTACTGATTTTGCTTTCAGAAAGTACTTTCCTATTTGCACATTTCTAAATCCTTCAGAAATTCAGGTCTAACATCACTTCCACAAAGCCCACCTTTTAAAGAGAGGAAAAATGTTCTCAACTCCTAGAGCACTTACGCTGGACCTCTTCTAGAACTGCTTCTTGACACTTTTCTCTAATGTGTAGTAGACTGATTCGTGTCTACATCTTTTCTCTACTGGATATGAACTCCCCAAAAGGCGGGGTGCATCTTACTCATGGCTGTGTTCGCCATAATGCACCCTGGAAACAATATGACCTAGTGAATGGATGGATGAGTTTCCAGTTCTGTGGGAATTCAGGATCCAACAATTTGAGGATAAAAATACACTTCTAAAGGCTCAGTATACTCTCCCCGATCCAAGAAAGACTGGTTCATGATGACATTATCGCCCACATCTGTTACCCCTCCAGGGAACCAGTAGTGTACTCCAGTGAAGAAAAGTTTACTAACTGATAAAAAGTTAAACAGCTGTAGAGAAACTACCCCCCACCCCGCCCCCCACTAGAGAGACAGCTCACCTGTGCAAAATACTCCTCCGAGATCCTCCCAGCCCATTCAATGCACAGGTCCAAGGGGCGGCATGGATTGGCCACATCAGCACACTTAATCATCATTCGTTTGATCAGCATTTGGTTTTCTGGAAAGTTCTTCCCAATAGGATTGCATTCACAGTCACTGCCCTCAGTCTGAAAAACATCGTCAGACCTGGGTTGGCTCAAAATGCTGCTGACGCCTACAAGGACTGCTGACCAAACAGATGGTGATCACCCAGGCCCATTAGGTGGAGCTCGGACTCAGACCCCAAGGAGGGCTTTTCCTTTCCTTGATTCTGTATCCAATACACTGATACATATGCTTATTGTACAAGAGCAGCAGCAATGACAACAACAACAACAACTTCAAGTAAAGATAGATATATATGCAATTTCAAAAGTGAATGTCCCTATCACCACCGACTTACCTAGTTCTCATTTTCTACCCTCTTCCCCAGAGGTAACTATTATAACCAGCTTTCCAGCAGTTTGGCATGTAGTTTTTCAGAAGGCGGGTTTGTCTCCCAGTCTTACCAGAAAATGTGTAAAAGTTGGAGTTTCTATTTCTTTGATACATTAAAGATGGAAAACAGCACATACATGTGAACTTTCTCTTTTCATTAATTTCTACTTATTTTGTCTGTCTGATCCTTCCTATGACCTACATCCTACACCTAACCCACTGGCCCATGTGTCCATTCAGGCATTTTCCTGACTGTTCATCAGACTAGATGATGGGAGAGTATGAGTCGTGTAAGTTGGGAACATTGAGAGCAGAAGTGGGCCAGAGTAGGAGCCGGTGTGCTTGGCTATGTTTAAAAGGACTGCGCTAATACTGGTTTAGAGCCAGTGATAGATGTCAAACAGTCCTGAGGCATGTGGCCAGATCTGTGAGTAGGCTTAGATAACTGTAATAGTAGGCCAGTTATACAGACCCTGGAAGACCGTTATTCTTCATTTTCAAAGACACTGTCACACTGATGTTATAAAATGTTAATCAGCTCTCCAGAGCTCTGCCAAGCTGGAAGACATTTAAGAATTTGTTGATTTTGTTTTGAGACTGGACCTGTTTATTAGATTGTCAATGGGCAGAATATGTTCTAAAGGTTGCAGTTTTGATTACTTACTATTGGGACAATACTGCTTACTGTCTATACTATGGTAAATAATAAATTCCAACACAAACCTGAGGGCTTACTTAGTCATCCCAAGATGACCTTCCCAATTCAAAATTCAATGATGCTGTAAAATTCTTTAACTCCTCAGGCCTTGTTCCCATAAGCCCCCTATGGAATGAGAGGGTCCTACCATAAGGTCTGGTTATGAATCGGGCTGCAAACCGCAAAGTCAGCAGTTCGAAACTACCAGGTGCTCCACAGGAAAAAGATGAGGCGTTCTGCTCCTGTAAAGATTCACAGCCTCGGAAACCCTGTGCAGGGTCGCTATGAGTCAGAACCGACTCCACGGCACATAACAACAACCATAAGATCACTGGTTCAAACCCACCAGGCGCTCCTCAGAAACTCTATACAGGGTCGCTGTGAGTCGGAACTGACTCGGCGGCATTTAACAACAAGCATTGTTCTGTGGAATCTCTGGAAGATGGGGTTGTTGTTGTTGTTAGGTGGCATCGAGTAGGTACTGACTCATAGTGACCCTCTGTACAACAGAGCAAAACACTGCTTGGTCCAGGGCCAACCTCACTATTGTTGCCACACTTGAGTCCATTGATGCTGCCATATTGCCAATCCATCTTGCTGGGGGTCTTCCTCTTGCTCGCTGACCCTCCACCTTACCAAACATGATATCCTTCTCCAGCAACTGATCTCTCCTGACAAAAAAGTATGAGAGACGAATTCTGGCCATCCTGACCTCCAAGGAGCACTCGGCTCCAGTTCTTCCAACACAGATCGGTTGGTTCTTTTGGCAGCCAATGGCACTTTCAATACTCTCCTCCCACACCATAACTCAAAAGCATCAATTCTTCTATGGTTTTCCTTACTCACTGTCCGGCTTTCACATGCATATGAGGTTATTGAAAATACCATGGCTTGGGTCAGGTGCACCTTAGTCCTCAAGCTGACATCTTTGCTCTTCAATACTTAAAAAAGGTTTTGTGCTGCAGATTTGGCTAATGCAATACATTGTTTGATTTCTTGACTGCTGCTTCCATGAGTGTTGATAGTTGATCCAAGAAGAATGAAGTCCTTGACAACTTCAATCTTTTCTCCATTGATAAGAATATTGTTTATTGGTCCAGTGGTGAGGATTTTTGTTTTCTTTACATTGAGATGCAATCCATACTGAAGGCTGTGCTCTTTGATCTTCATCAGTAAATATTTTCAGTTCTCTTCACTTTCATCAAGCAAGGTTGTATCATCTGCATATCACAGGTTGTTAATGAGTCTTCCTCCAATCCTGATGCCACATTTTTCTTCATAGAACCCAGCTTTTCGGCTTATTTGCTCAGCATACAGGTTGAGTAAGTATGGTGACAGAATACAACCTTGTCACACACCTTTCTTAATTTTAAACCATTCAGTGTTCCCATGTTCTGTTTGAACAACTGCCTCTTGGTCCATGTACAGATGAGCACAATTAAGTGTTCCGGAATGCTCATACTTCACAATGTTGTCCATAGCTTGTCACAATCCACACAATCGAAAGCCTTTGCATAGTCAGTAAAGCACAGGTAAAGATCTTTCTGGTATTCTCTGCTTGTAGCCAAAATCTATCAGATATCAGCAGTGATAGCCCTCATTCCATGTTCTCTTCTAAATCCAGCTTGAATTTCTGGAAGTTCTCTGTCAATGTATGCTTACAGCCGTTTCTGTATTACATTTAGTAAAACTTTACTCCCATGGGATATCAAAAAGAGTGTCCGATGATTTCCTCATTCCGTTGGGTCACCTCTCTTTGGAATGGGGACAAATACGGATCTCTTCCAGTCAGCTAGACAGTTGTCTTTTAAATTTCTTGGCATAGATGAGTGAGTGCCTCCAGTGCCACCTCACTTTCTTGAAAGATTTCCATTTTTATGCCATCAATTCCCAGTTAGATAGAGATAAAGTGCATGCTGCCTCTCCACCGAGGCTGTTCATATGATGGGTTCTCCACAGAGAGTCTCCTTACTGATCTGTCAAGTTACTTTTAAAATCAAATATCCTTCCATTCACTTATCTGCCAAATGAGAATGACCTTCACAGAGCTTTGTACAGATTCATGATTTCACACAGCAGTTGCTATCACTTAAAAAAAACAGAGATGTGAACTTTCTGTCCCATATTCCTAAAACCCAAAGTTTAGGGACTTTAAAGCAGGTTCAAGGTATGCATTTTTAACCCTTCTCATGACTGAATGATTTTCTGTTTAACATTTTTTGTTGATTTTGTGTTTTCAAGAATGGAAGACATGCTGGAATCAAGGTGAAAATGTTTATTTGAAGTAATACGCATTTTGACACAATTATGTGGGGCATGCATGTCTCAAGTGGATTCTAGTGGGATAAGGACCATTTCTTTATCTTCAAAGAGTTATACAGATTCTCGTAGTATACACTGCAACTGGGATAACAGGTTCCCAAGAAACCTAAGAAGCTGAAAATACTGTAGGGTGGTATTTGGGCTCACAGTCATGAAAGAATTTTAAAAGGAAAGCTTGAACTTTCAAAGCTTTAGTCCTGTGTGGCTATCACTTGAAATTACACTGACTTAGAAATGGAAAATACCAGTAGTCACAAAGATGTATCAGAACTAGACAGCATTTCGTTCTCTTATACATAAGGTCTCTGTGAGTCAGACCCAACTTCATGACAAGTAACAAAAACAACAGAATTCCTTGAAAAATGGTAATTCACGTAGAAATCTGTGGAGTAAAACACAGATGTGGTGATTTGGTGTTTTTACATTAACAAATCTGACCCAAGATAGAGATTATTCTTCCCCTTACAAATATGCTATTGTTGTTATGAAGTGCCATCGAGTCGGTTCCGACTTAATGGCGACCCTGTATAGGGTTTCCAAGGAGCAGCTGGTGGGTTTGAACTGCCGACCTTGTTGTTCACAGTCCAGTGTGGATCCTACAGCACACCACTCCAGGAGTCCCTTACAAATGTGAATCACTATAAATATTTAATCCAGCAATTATAGAAAACAATATATGCTTTTGTTTCAAGTTATTCTTTTAATGTGACTCAGCAGGTATGTTCTTTAAAACAATTTCCAACTTTGAGGTCTTTCAAAGAACCTCATTTTAGATGGGCTTTGGATCCCCACTTAGAACCACCATTTCTGTCCCCCGCTCTGTGTGTACCCATTTCCATCATTCTTTCGGCACGAGTGGCTTTATTTCAGGACTTTTCTTCCCAGGAGCTCAGAGCTGCTGTCAGTCTCAGCCAGCCAGACTCTCTGGAACTATCCTCTGATGGAGATCATATTGCTTTAGGGAGTGCTTACCTCAGAGGCCATTGGCTTGTTGATACTATTCACAAATTTGTTCACATGTTCAAAGTGTTTTGTCATCTCTGTTGCCAAAACCATGTCAATGATAGCCTGCCGCAGTGTTCGGTAATGGTTCCTAAAAAGAACCAGGAGACAAAGGGTCCTGTTCACATCAGGCACAGCATTAGAACCGTTCAGCTCCCATCTCTCTCACCACACTTCCTAACTAAGGAACTAGGGCCATAGAACTAAGAACTGAGTGTAAGTTACAAGGGAGCGCTTGCCTGCTTGTCTGTAGATGCTATTCTATTTGCCCCAATGATAGCTGCCCCTTCCTCTCAGATTTATGAGTATTAAAAAAAAAAAAAAAAAAGTACCTGTCACATGATATTGTTGTTGTGTGCTGTGGAGTCAGTTCTGACTCATAGCAAGTCTGTATAGGGTTTTTGAGACTGTAAATCTTTATGGGAGCAGAAAACCTCATCTTTTGCCCACTGGTGCCCCTTCCTGTCTGTCACATGGTGGTGGTTGTGTACCATTGAGCCGGCTCAGACTCAGTGAACCTGTATAGGGTTTCCAAGGAGCGACTGGTGGGTTTGAACCACTGATCTTGCTGTTAGCAGAATAGTGTTTGTCTTACAGTATCACACCAGGAATCCTGTCACATAGCTGTTATCGTTAAGTGCTGTCGAGTCAGGTCTGACTCGTAGCGACATTGTATAGGGTTTCTGAGGCTATACATTTTTGCAAGAGCAGAAAGCCTCATCCTTCCCCCACAAAGTGGCTGATGGGCTCAAACCTCCAACCTTGTGATTCACAGCCCAGTGCTTATCCTATAGAGCCTCAGCACTCCCAATTGTCACATGGTAGGTACTTATTTTACAAGGCAATCTCCTTCTCCCTTCCCTTAGCAACATCTAGACAGGAAGAAATAAGTTCCTTCCCTGCAGTGCTGGGACAACAATCCACTGAGCTGCCATATTGCATTTAGTACAGCACTGTGATTCCTCTGCAGAGAACTGTCATGATTTCTTGACAATGGCATGGGAAGAATGCTTTCCTGGTACTAAGTAGCTCTTTCCACTGGAACGAGATAGAAACTGTAATGGATGTAATGACACTGCCGCAAACTAGTGACCAATTCTTACTGTCCCACCTCAAAAGCTAGAATGGGAAGCTGAATAAAATTGGCTACTGGAAAAAAATATTCCTACACAGGTTTTAGAACCAACCTTCGCATGATACTGATGACGCTGCAATGAGTAACTGACCTTCCTATTTTCCTAGATTTCTGGATGTCAAAACGATAGGTTCATATTGTGAAGTGGTCCTAAGGCCCATGGAAGCTCTGTCTTCCCTGTACCCTGCTCTCTCCCAGGAGTCTACTCATCTGCTTAGCTACATCTATACAGAAAATGTCACCACCCGACTTCAGGGTGGCTATTTGGCAAGAAGATTTTCTTGTATCTCTTGGCGTTGGACCACTTCTCAGGAGAGACTGCGGCAGCTGGGGGTGATACCTGCCCAGCCCCGTCAAGAGTTCTGCTGGGATCTATAGGGCATGGTTTCCTTTATCTGGGCACAGATTCAGCTGATGCAAGATAAGGGAGGATGTGGCTATCTTAAGTTACACAGAAGTTAGAATGTCCTTCTAGGAGGATAAAAATATCTGCTATACTTATTATTAATACAATTGATATTTATATAGTACTTTGCAGTATATAAAACATTTTCATGAACTCATCAAAGACCCAATGAGATTTGAAAAGAGGCATGTAATCTGAAAAGTAAAATTGAATTTTTAAGGGCAAGATTATTTTATTGCGACGTACACGGGGTTGCCATGAGTTGGAATCAACTGGAGGACAACTGGAATTTTATCACCGGATGCCATTCAATTTCTCTCTTCTTCTCCTTTCCCCAAAGAAGCGGCTAAATAAGGACTTGGAGAAGTTGCCTACTTAAAGCTTCACTAACCTGAACACAGGACCCCAAGCACAACAAACCTGTCAATATTCTTGAAAATGTTGCACTTGCTGTCTTTGACTGTGAGCTGGAAGGCCAGGGCTGTGTGGTGACTTTCCAGGACAGCAGTGTCGTTGTAGAGCACAGCAAGTTCGCTGCCAGCATTGCACAGGAAAGAGTTGGTCCTTCCCGGGTGATCCACATCATGGACTGTGGCAGCAATCAGTGCGGCCACCTCATCCAGCTGATCCAGGCTTCCCTGGGGTAAGAGGAAGGCAAAATTAAGCATCACTGGGAGAGGCCTAAGACCGATATCCACTTCAGCCTCCTAGATGGGGAGGGTCCAGGAGAGCTGGGATTTATCAGAATATTGTCTTAACCCACTGAGCCTTCTCTGGTTCCTAAAAGCTGAGAAGCTGCCTTGGCCACATTACATAACCACCTTGCTAAATTCTTACCCCAGAGTCTATTTGCAGGAAGAACTCTGTTTGGCAGGAGTTTTGAATGCCCTGTGTGTGGCATGGTCAAGACTCTCTTCTGTGTGCAAATACAGCAGACAGTGGCCTACGGTGACAAATACGATTGATTTTATTTGTTTCCTTCTGAAAATATCTGAGAGTGCAAGCAATGAATGGCACAGAAACTACAAAACTACTCACACAAAGGTAAAAGGAGTAGAACTAAGTGATATAAAATGATCAAGAAAGAATAATGGCATCAGGGAAATGTAGACTAAGGGTGCTTTTGCAGTTGAGACCAGAACTTAAGTTTTGGGCTAACTGCCAACAAGGGCAAAAAGGAAAGCCACATTTCTAAAGCTCTCATGTAATAAAGTAACACAAACCAGTGCATCAGAGAAGAGTTTTCCTCATTTACAAATTTAGAAGGAAACTATCAAATGAGCTATTATTAGGTAAGAGTTGTTGTCAAGTGCCATCAAGTCAGTTCTGTCTCATAAGGACCCTGTGTACAATGGAAGAGAACACTGTCCCACCCTGCTGTGTTTCAGCTCATTGTGGTAGCCACTGTGTCAACCTATCTCATTGAGGGTCTTCCTCCTTTTCACTGACCCTCTAATTTATCAAACGTGAAGTCCTCCTCCAAGGACTGACTGGTTACTCCTGATGACATGTGCTAAGTATAGGAGATGAAGTCTACCCATCTTTATTTCTAGGGAGCATTCTAACGGTACTTCTTCCAAAACAGATCTGGTCATCCTCTGGCAGGCCATGGTATATTTAGCATTCTTCACCAATACCATAATTAAAATGCATCCATTCTTCTGTAGTCTTCCTTATTCATTGTACTCACATGCACGTGTCCTCACATGTATGTGAGGCTATTGAAAATACTATGGCTTGCATCCCATGAAACTTAGTCCTCACACTGATTCCTTTGCTTTGGAATACTTCCAAGAGATCTTTTGCAGCAGATTTGCCCAATGCAATACGTCATTTGGGCAAATTTTCTTAACTGCTGCTTCCACCATCTTTGATTGGGATCCAAGTAAAATAAAATCCTTGACAACTTCAATCTTTTCTCTTTTTATCATGATGCTGCTTATTGGTCCAGTTGTGAGCATTTTTGTTTTCTTTATGTTGAGGTGTAACACTCTTTGAACTTCGTCAATAAACACTTCAAATCCTCTTTGATTTCAGCCAGCAAGGTTTTATCCTCTGCACATTGCAGGTTGTTAACGAATCTTCATCCAGTGTTGATGCCACGTTCTTCTTACCAGATTCTTGCATCATTACTCAGCACACAGACAGACTAAGTATGGTGAGAGGATACAACCCGACACACATTTCCCTGATTTAAAACCATACATTATCACCTGGTTCTGACTGAGTGATTGCCTCTTGGTCTGTGTACAGACTCTGCTTGAATACAATGAACTGTTCTGGAATTCCCATTCTTTGCAATGTTATCCATAGCTTGTGTTATGATTCACACAGTTCAATGTCTTTCCATAGTCAATGAAGCACAGGTTTCATTTAATTATGGCATTGATGAAGACTACCTTTCTGATATTCTCTGCTCTAGTAGATCCATCTGATATTAGCATTGCTCCTTTGTTTCACATCCTCTTCTGAATCAGTTTGAATTTCATCCATAAAATTAACTTTCTTTTGTGTGACATTAATGATATTGTTGCTAATTCTTACATTCTTTCCGATCATCTTTCTTTGGAATGTGCACATTTATGGATCTCTTACAGTCTGGTGTCTTCCCAAAGTTCTTGGTATAGAGTTAGCACTTTGCTAATGCATCCATTTGTTGAAACATTTCAATTAATATTCCATCAGTTCCTGGAGACTTGTGTTAGCTCAATGCCTTCTCTGCAGCTTGGACTCCTTCCTTCAGTACCATTGGATCTTGATCATATGCTACCTACTGAAATGGCTGAATGACCACCAGTTCTTTTTGTGACTCCGTGTATTCCTTCCATCATCTTTTGATAATTTTTATGTTGTTCAATATTTTACCATAGAATCCTTTAATATTGAGCATGAAGCTTGAATGTTTTCTTCAGTTCTTTTAACTTGAGAAATGCTGAACATATTCTTCCCTTTTGGTTTTCTAACTCCAGGTCTTTGCACATTTCATTGAAATACTTAACTTTGTTTTCTTGATCTGTCCTTTGAAATTTTCTGTTCATTTCTTTGACTTCATCACTTCTCCTGTTAACATTAGCTTCTCTATGCTCAAGAGCAAGTTTCAAAGTCTCTAGTGATATCCGTTTTAATCTTTTCTTTCTTTTGTGCCTTTTTAATGACCTTTTGCTGTCTTCATGCATGATATCTTTGATGTCATCCCACAACGTACCTGGTCTTCAGTCATTAGTATACAACATGTCAAATTTATTTTTGAGATGCTCTCTAAATTCAGGTGGGATCTACTCAAGTTTGTATTTTGACTCTCATGGACTTGCTTTAATATTCTTCAACTTCAGCCTGAACTTGCATATGAGCAATTGATGGTCTGGCCCCACAGTCCAATCTGTGCCTGGCTGGGTTTTTTTGGCTGATGACCTTGAGCTTTCCATCGTCTCTTTTCACAGATGTAGTTGATTTGGTTCCTGTATATTCCATCTGGTGAGGTCCACTTGTAAAGGTTGTTGAAAAAGTACATTTTCAATGAAGTCACTTCTTGCAAAATTCTGTTATGCAATCTCCAGCATCATTTCCATTACCAGCGTTGTTTTCCATCTGCTGATCCTTGTTCTTTGTTCCCATTTCAGTCACCAGTAATTATCAATGCATTTTGGTTGCATACTTGATCAATTTCTGACTGCAGAAGTTGATAAAAATCTTCAATTTCTTCGCTTTTGGCATTAGTGGTTGGTGTGTAAATCTGAATAACTGTCATATTAATTTGTCCTCCTTGTGTGCTTATGGGTATTATCTTATCACTGACAGCGTTGTACTTCATGACAAATCTTAAAATGTGTTTTTACAATGAATGTGATGATATGCCTCTTCAATTTGTCATTCCTGGCATAATAAAATATATGATTGTTTCAAAATGGCTTAACCATCTATACCACTCAGAGACTCCTACATGTGACTATTTTTGTTGTTAGGTGCTGTTGAATCAGTTCTGACTCATAATAACCGTATGCAGAGCAGAGGGAATACTGCCTGGTTCTGAGCTATCTTCATAATTCTTGTTTTCTCTGAGCCCATCATTGCTGCCACACATGACAGGGTCTACTATACTGGTCAGCACAGTGGCACCTCGGAGGAGAGGCCTCCTTCTGATCTACTTCTGAAGGGTTATAGTCACTGCAAGTCCTGTGCATACTTCTACTGTCACACACGTCGGGGTGGCCATGAAGCTGAGTTATCACAACAGCAACCGATTTGGTTTTGGTTTTGGCTTAGTCACGTGTAGTTACTGACAACTTGGAATGTGGCTAATGCAATAGAGGAACTAAGTTGGTTTGCTAACTTTAGTTAAATTCAAATAGACACATGTGGCTAGTGGCTACTCTGTTGGGCATCACAGGGCCATCGGGTGATCAGGGATGGTCTCTCTAAGGAAGTGATATTTATTCTCATGCCTGAGAGACAAACCGTGTTTGCCATTGGGTGTTAAGTGCCATTGAGTGAGTTCCGACTCATAACAACATTGTATAGAGTTTCTGAGGAGCAGCTGGGGAGTTTGAAGCACCAGCCCTCCAGTTCAAACCCACCTTGCAGTCTAGTGCTTATCCCACAGCGCTACACCAAGACTCCAAAGCAGTACTTAGTCTGCAAAAAATGGCAAAGGAGAGAATCTCAGACAGAAAGAACAACCTATACAAACCACATGAAGTGGAAAACAAAAGTGCCTTACTCTAGAAATGTACTAGAGTCACTGTGGCTGACAAAAAGGTGTGTGAAGTACAATGAGGTATGTCCCCAAGATTCAAATAGAGGGGTGGGCATAGCTTTTGGTATTCCCAAGAGATGCTTTCATCAGTTTACGGGAGGCAAATCAGCAAACTGTTTCTCCAGCACTATTCAGGAATGACCAGTGAGTCGGAAGCTCAGCCCCATCCTGGTTGTGGGCAAAGAAGTGAGGACACATTGATCGGTCATTAGCAGTCTGTTGGTGTTAGTTTAGGATTGTAAAGGGTTTTCTGGAGCGCTGTCTCTACTAGAAAGCAGCCATTTTCATTTCTAATCCTGATCTCATGGAGCTGGTTGGTGAGCAGTTTTGGCTTGGTCCCCAGCACCAGGACCAGGACCAGGACCAGGTTTCCAGAGCAGGGACAGGGGGAGATTCTCTACTGCTCAAGGAGTCCTGGTGAGTCACTGCAGGATAAAGCACAGGACTGCATGGTTGGTTTGAATCACAAGGCCGGTGGACCAAATCCACCAGCTGCTCCTCGGAAACCCTATACAGGGTTGCTATGAGTCGGAACCGATTTGATGATACTTAATAATAACAACATACTGCTCAAGGCAAACAAGCACACTTGGCCCCATTTCACTGCTGGGTCAGGAGAGACCACAGGCACCTGCAGGTGAAGTCAGCTATCCAAGTCCTACTCCCAGACTGCCCCATGTAGGTTGCATCTTCATTGATTCTGCCTTTGCAGTGAGAATCCATGTGGGCCTCCCGAAGACTGAAGCCAATTACTGTGAAACTTTTCAATAAAATAGATTTACGTAATTAGGGTAGAGAATGCGAGTAGCATTGGACAAGACCTGCGTTTCACTAGAGCTTACACTGATTCACACCAAACACTCAGTGAAAGTGGCACTTTTACAAAGTTATCAATATTGGGTCATGATCTGCAGTTTGGATAAGCACAGTCTAATGATGCACTGTCTGATAAGTGGATGGGAGTTGGGGAAAGAAGACTGGGTAGCTCCCTAGCAGATGCGAGAAGCAAGGTCCTTCCCACAGGAGTGAGGGACCATCGATGGAAGAAAACTCCTTGCCAAGCCCACAACTGGAGAAATCCCAAAGCCTTTAAGGTACAGATATCTCAACATTAATTTCTTTCCTTCTTTACCAGAAAAAATAGATCTGGATCACACTGAAGCAGACTAGCCAGTATGGGCCCTGTTTTTTGACCAGCCTTTCAAACAGTTCCTTGTCCAGGATGATAAATGAATGTTGGCTATCCAAGTTTCAGATGTATATGAGGCAATTAAAAATAGTATAACTTGGGTCAGGCACACCTTACTCCTCAAACTGTTATCTTTGCTCTTGAGTACTTTAAAGAGGTTTTGTGCAGCAGATTTACCAAATGCAATATGTCATTTGGTTTCTTGACTTCTGCTTCCATGAGTTTGATGGTGGATACAAGCAAAATGAAGTCTTTGGCAACTTCAATCTTTTCTCCATTTACTATGATGGTATTTATTTGTTCAGTTATGAAGATTTTTGTTTCCTTTACATTAAGGTGCAATCCATACTGATGATGATGGTCTTTAATCTTTGTCACCAAACATTTTAAGTCCTCTTCACTACCAGCAAGACCGGTTGCATCACCTGCATATCGCAGGCTGTTAGTGAGTCTTTCTCCAAACCTGATGCCAAGTTCTTCATATAATCCAACTTTTTGGATTATTTGCTCAGCACAGAGACTGAATAAATATGGTGAAAGGATACAACTCTGCCACATATCTTTCCTGATTTTAAACCACTCAGTATTCCCATGTTTTGTTTGAACAGTTGCCTCCTGGTCTATGTACAGGTTCCTCATGAGCACAATGAAGTCTTCTGGAATACCATTCTTCACAGTGTTAACCATAGCTTGTCATGATTCACACATTCAAAAGCTTTTGTAGAAAGAAAGCACAGGTAAGCTTCTTTCTGGTATTCTCTGCTTTCAGCCAAGATCCATCTGACATCAGCAATGATATCCCTAGCTCCATGTCTTCTTCTGAATTCGGTGTGGATTTTTGACAGTTCTCTGGTGATGTACTATTGTAACTGTTTTTAAAACTCTCTTCAGCAAAATATTACTTACGTGTAATAATACTGATACTGTTCGATGATTTCTGCTTGCTGTTGGGTTACCTCTCTTTGAAATGGGCACAAATATGCATCTCTTCCAGTCAGAAAGTCAGGTAGCTGTCTTCCAAAATTCTTGGCATGGATGAGTGAGTGTCTCCAGTGCTGACTCAGTTAGTTGAAAGATTTCAATTTGTATTCTGTTAATTCCTGGAACCTTGTTTTTTACCCATGCCTTAAATGCAGCTTAGACTTCTTCCTTTAGTACCTACCATTGATTCTTGATCAAATGCTACCTACTGAAATGGTTGACCATCGACCATTTCTTTTTGGTACAGCTAAAAAAAGCATCTTCTTTGGATGCTTTCTGCATAATTCAGTATTTTGTGCATAGAATCTTTCAATATTGCAAATCAAGGCTTGAGTTTTTTTCTTCAGTTCTTTCAGCTTGAGAAATGCTGAGTGGGCTCTTATTTTTTGGTTAACTGCAGGTCTTTGCGTTGTTGTTAAGTGCCATCAAGTCAGTTCCAATTCATAGCAACCCTGTATAGGGGTTCCAAGGAGTGGCTGGTGGGTGAATCGCTGACCTATAGTTAGCAGTCCAATGCTTATCCTACAGCACCACACCAGAATTCCAGGTCTCTGCATATTTCATTACAATACTAACGTTGCCTTCTTTATCTGCTCTTCAAAATTTTTTTGTTCAGCTCTTTGACTTCATTTCTTCTACTTGCTTTAGCATGTCTACACTGCAGAGCAAATTTCAGTCTCTTCTGATATCCATTTTGGTGTTTTCTTTGTTTCCTGTCTTTTTAATGACATTTGGTTTCCTTCCTGTATATGTTCTTTGGTCTGGTAGGCCTTTAGAGAAGTTTATCTGTAACACAGAGTGCTGTGGCTACAGATGACTTTGGACTCTGAGTTAATGACCTGGGTCCTGTTCTCAGTTGGCAGTTTGTGACCTCAGCAAGTCAAATAGGGGACATGAACCTGTACTAGGAAGGGATTTAAAGCTTAGGCTGATATATCACCATTCATTTTGTTTGGAATTAATTTTGTTTAGAAAGGAAATGAAAATAAACTTCAAAAGTGTCGTCCTTGGACCACATCCTTTGCTTTCTTGCTGATGAGAGTGAATACCACACTAGTGGAAAACTTCGATGGAAACCAGTTAACCCTTTCCATTCCTCTGTCTCCGTTTTGGTGCCTTTCTGCCTCCTCCTATCTGTCCCACTATTAACTCTTCTCTGAAAGTCCTCAGGGTCTAAATCGGTCATCAAACCTGCCCTAAGAAAGTGATGTAATAGCCTGCATTTACCAGTCAATGTGAGTTTCAGTGTCTACACTGCACTTCTCCCAGTGGCATCTGTATTTGAAGCTTCCCTTCTAATTGTAGCAAAGGGATGCCAAGCTTCGTTGTGCACGTAATAGCTGTTGGGAAGGAGAGGAGAGCGGCTATCCATAGGGCTGTACATAGAGCTGCACTACAAATCAGCACCCACACATGAAATTATTGGATTCTCCTCAAGGAAGAATAAGGACATAGCACGCTCTCAGAATTATGTAAAGTGATTAACATACAGATACACACATTTACATCCACACAACACACATACATTATGTCAATCATCAGAAGGCTGAGTGACTTCATTATTGACTGGCTTCTAATGTCCTGATGTGGCGCTGTGGGTTAATGTGCCAGACTGCAAAGCCGTTTGAACTGCAAGGTCGGTGGTTCAAGCTCACCAGCTACTCCTTGGAAACCTATACAGGGTCGCTATGGGTCAGAATTGACTCGGCGGCATTTGACAACAACAACAATGTACTAGGAGTCCTGGTGTGGCGCTGTGGATTAATGCACCAGACTGCAAAGCCATTTGAGCTGCAAGGTTGGCAGTTCAAGCTCACCAGCTGCTCCTTGGAAACCCTATACAGGGTTACTATGAGTCGAAACTGACTTGACAGCATTTAACAACAACATCAACAAGCCCATTATCACAAAAAGTTCCTAATGAGCAATGGGTATGGACCAGTGAAGCATGTAAAAGCGTCTCTGTTGTTGTTGTTAAGTACCGTGGAGTCAGTTCTGACTCATAGTGACCCTGAACAGGGTTTCTGAAGCTGTAAATCTTTACGGGAGCAGAAAGCCTCATCTTTCTCCCGCGGAATGGCTGGTAGTTTCAAACTGCCAGACCTTGAGGTTAGCAGCCCGATTGTTAACCACGACACTACCAGAGCTCCTTAAAAAGTCTCTACTGTGGCATAAATTATGATTTTAGGCATTTGGGAGAGAGAAGAAGTAGGAGACAGGGCCATGGCTATATTACCAAAAGCACTAGTCACTTTAGTAATCTTAAAAAAAAACACCTCTGTCAAATTGGTTGTAACACAGCTATTTACTAAGATTGAGGTTTTTGGATCTTTAATGCAGACAGGCAACTAGATCACGATATCAAAATTCTACCTTCACTCTTTCCTTCCCAAGGAAGAAGGCAGTGGCATGCAGGACGTCTGCGGCATGAGTGGAGTTATGGTAGGCGTTGGAGGAGTGATAGTTGGCTTCAATCACTTGCAGCCAAGCCCGCAGAGTGGTCTCAGAACAGTTCAAAAATTCACAGACTCCAAACCGGGAAAACACCTTTAAGCCCAGGTAAACCAATGGCCTGGAAAATAGGAAAACAAGCTCTAGAGTTCATTGTATTCACTGGCCCCAGAACTACCTTCTTTGATGATACTAGAGAAGAAAAGAATTTTTCTTCTGATGCTTATTGCCTGTGCACCAGGCCCCCCAAAAAATCTCCTCCCCAAATTGGAGCTCAGTAGATCACACCTTCCTCCCCAGCCTCTTCGGAACCGGGAGCCTCATGGTGGTCAACACAAATTATTTTCAGTTATCTCTTAAGTCATAAGCCTTTCAGTTGCTCTGACAACCAAGACAAGCCCCCTGACAGTCTAAGTCCTGCATTTTCTTGATGCCCACTGAGGACGTTCCTGCATCTACAGACAAGAGGAGTGGCTTAGGTGGTCTCAGCATTTATAGGTGGAAATCTTCCATGGCCTACAGACCAACACCACTGAGAAGAAACAGCCTTCTCCAAGTATCGAAGGGCACTGCGAGTTATGTGACTTTTCCCCTCCTTGTAGGATAGCCCCTAAGAAAACTCATAGTATCTTCAATAAGAGCTCACAGATTCATATTGTAAGGTGAGACTTTTCCCCTCCTTGTAGGATAGCCCCTAAGAAAACTCATAGTATCTTCAATAAGAGCTCACAGATTCATATTGTAAGGTGAGACTTTTCCCCTCCTTGTAGGATAGCCCCTAAGAAAACTCATAGTATCTTCAATAAGAGCTCACAGATTCATATTGTAAGGTGAAGCTTTAACAAGTCTGGGGTTGAGAATACTTAGAACTCTTGGGTCCCAGTACAAAGGAAATGACTGAGAAAATCAGAGAAGAAAGCTTAGCATTTTCTTATCCTGGTCATCACCTGGCTGACTCCACAACTTAATCACTGAGAGTCTCCCTCCATAAAGGACTCACTCAGAGGCCACGGTCTCTCTGCTTGTTTGACAGTTCTCCATCTTGGCACCAAAAGCAGAACCTGTGTGGTCTCTTGTGGCCAGGACACAGCTCCCTCTAAGCGTCCAGATGTGAAATTCATAGCACGGCCACCAATCCTTCCTGCCTGCTTCCAGAAAAGTCACATACCTCTTATGTGTAACAGATTCCAACTCAAAGATGTTGAAGTCCCAACTTTCTTCATTATCAAGTAGCTGAGCAATCGAAGGGGGGACATCGTTGATGGTTATTGGCATCGCAAGGTGGCTGTGACTCTGGTGTACATCTGAGTGAACAGATGGGACAGGGAGAGCAGTTAATGATGGACTTGAGAGCCCCTGAGCATTTACACCATTCTCATTGTTGTTACTAGAAAGAAAATCTTGAAGATTTCCAAGAGTAGGAGAATTTTCACTTCAGTGACCTTCTCTTATATTATTAAACATCACAGCTCCTAAATAGAAATAGAACTTCACCGGTGTAAATGTATAGAGATTTGAAATTTGCATTCTGATAGTTCTCAGAGAAGTAATGTTAATTAGAAGACCTAATTTCAAAAGTAGATCACGTAAGTACCTAAACTCAATTGAGACCAATTGGAAGAAAAAATACCAAAGCCCTCTCCAGACAATAAGCACAACATTGCAGCTGACAATGGATTTTCAGTAACAAGTGGATAGATAAAAACTTACTCTTAGTAAACACATACTCGTTTCCTGACAACCTTCTTAAACCATCCTGGAATAAAGAAAAGATGCCGTTAAAAGCAAATGTATGCCATGTTCTATAGCCTTTCATCACCATTGTTCCATTTTCCCCTTTACTATGCAAATGGATTTGAATTCTGGATCAAATCTGGATTTCAATCTGGATCTCCAATTTATAGCTCAAAATGCAATCAGGACAATAGCTATGAGACACATGGTACCCTTCCTTCCAAGGCTAGTACCGTAGAAAGTGGAGAATTGAGAATACAGTGAATGCAGTTGCCTTTAAGTCTTCTGACTGTGCTGAGGTTAGAACTATCTTTATCTTCTGGCATTTTAGACGCCTCATAAATGAAATCTCAGAAGCGATCTTGCTTTGGAGGCAGATTCTTTTGGAGGGACCCCAGACACTCTCATAGGGACTGTCTTATTTCTGTGTTCTTACATTTGGGGAAGTTGAAGCCATAAGACACATTTTGGGTATAAGTTTTTAATATACTTTAAAAAGCTGGGCTGATTTTCAGCTGATAGCCAAAATAATTTAGTTTTTTTAACTGTAGTTTCTGTTTTGTAACAGAAACATTACTACTAGCTTTTAAAGAAAAAGTTCCTGGAGGTCTTTGGAGAGGCAGCATAGAGGAACAGACAGAATTCGGATGCTAATTCTGACATTTACTAGGCTTCTTGAACCTGACCTAGCCCCCAAATGTTCTAGTTCGGGTTCCTTCCCTTAAAAGTAACTTGTAGTTGCTTATTTGTCTCGTAATATTACTGAAGAGTACCCTTGAAGTCATACCTTAGTGTTGAGGCCCAAAGCTTAATTTTAAAAATCAGGTAAATAGGTAAGCAACAATGGCCACGCCTATCTTGCCTCTAAGGCAGCTACTCCAAGGGCTCCTCCATGTTTTCTTTTGTCTTTCTCTCTTTCTACTCTAAACTCACATAAAAATGAGGTGGGATCCTGCACTGTTTCCCTGCAGTTTTATTGGGAGATCAAACCCAAGAAGGTATGGTGGGAATTGGGGAGTAGGGTGGGCTAACTTGTTTCTCTCTCAGGATCTTCCTGCTGTAGCTCTGTAGGGGTCACCTCCTGACAATCCTTGCCAGTGTTCCCTAGAAACTGAAGTCTACACTGCACTGGGATGAGGTGACCAAGGTCAGCATAGGGGCAGGAAAGGAAGCACAGGTCACTGGAATTACAGGAAGACAGAGAATGAACCAGAAGCCAGTCAACACCCACCACTTGGTGGCAGAGCTAGACAGAAACCTTCCCAGTAAAAGACATAATGACTCTTAAGTCTTTTTCTCCAAAAGGTTTCTTCCAGTTTCAGCCTCTGATGAGGAACATAAAGAAATACTTTTGATTTTATTTTTCTTCAATTGCTAGTAGGTGCTTACAACTAGCTACGGCACACTGCATGCAACAAGCAGAGTCCTCAGATGTCAGCTACTCTACACTGCTGTCGTTGTTGTTGTTAGGTGCCGTTGAGTTTGTTCCAACTCATAGCAACCTCAGGCACAACAGATGAAACACTACCAGATCTGTACTGTGTTCACAATTGTTATGCTTCAGCCCATTGCTGCTGTCACTGTGTCAGTCCATCTCCTTGGGGGTCTTCCTCTTTTTCGTTGACCCTCCACTTTACCAAGCATGATGTCCTTCTCCAATAACTGGTCCCTCCTGATAATATGTCCAAAGTATGTTGTGGAGGTGTTTCCCCATCAAGTCGGTTCTGACTCATAACAACCCCATACAGGGTTTCCAAGGCTGTAAATCTTTACAGGAGCAGAATGCCTTATATTTTGCCCACAGAGTAATGGATAGATTTATACTGCTAACTTTGCAGGGCAGCTGATGGATTCGAACCGCAAGCCTTGCAATTAGCAGCCCAATGTGTAACCCACTCTGCTACCAGGGCTCCTGCTGTTGTAGTAGTTGTTAGGTGCCAATGAGTCGTCTCCAACTCATAGTGACCGCATGCACAACAGAACAAAACTCTACCAGGCCTGCGCCATCCTCACAATTGTTAAACATTTGAGTCTACTGCTGCCGCCACTGTGCCCCTCCATCTCGGTGATCCTACGCTTTACCAATCAAGGTGCCCTTCTCCAGAGAATGGTCCAGTTGTAAAGCATGAGAGATGACATCTCACCATCCTGAATTCTCAGGAGCATCCTGACAATACTTCTTTCAACACAGGTTGGTTTGTTTCTCTGGCAGTCCTGGGGTAGCACTGTGGGCTAATGCACTAGCCTGCAAGGTGGATAGCTCAGATTCACCCACTGCTCCTCGGAAACTCCATGCAGGGTCGCTATGAGTCGAATCGGCTCAACGGCACATATCAACAACAATGGTGCTTTTAGTTTCGGTTGTGAGCCACTAAATTCAGTTCCGACTCATAACGACCCTGCATAGGGTTTCTGAGGCTGTAAATCTTTACAGGAACACAAAGCCTCGTCTTTTGTGGAGAGGCTGGTGGATTTGAACTGCTGACCTTGCAGTTAGCCGCCCAGCTCATAATCCACTATGCTACTAGGATTTTTAGCATTCTTCTCCAACATCAGGGCTTCCTGGAGAGCTGTCTGGGGTTGGTGCTTCTTCTATTCAGCCTTCCTTTCTTACACCACCCCTACCAGAACAGCCTCACTCTGCTTTATCTGATTGTAAGGAGAGTTTCCATATAAGCTTTTATTTATAAAAACCAAAAACAACCAAAAGACTCCTGGTGTGGCACTGTAGGATCAGCACTGAAATGGGTCAACAGTTCAAATCCACCATCTGCTCCTCAGAAACTCTGTACAGGGTCGCTAAGAGTCAGAACTGACTCAATGGCGCTTAACAATAACACAGCTAATGTTTTGAAAACTACTGCAGTCTAAGTTCAAACCCTTTCATTCTATGGATAAAGAACTGTGGTCCAAGGAGACCCAACCATGGCCCTCATCCAAGACTGCACCAGGTAAAGAGGAACAAGAAGTAAACAAGGGCCTACATAACTCACCAATTTGCATAGTTAAGTCAACGGCCTATTCGCTGCTGTAATAAGAATTCTCAAAGACTGTCTTTCATTGCTATGCTCAGTCAGCCTCGTAGAATTACAAGAATCACTTAAGTGATACAATTACATAATTTTTGATACAACTGCATTTGTTTATGCGGATGTTTGCACATATTGCAGGTATTTCCCCAAACAGCAACTAAGGTAATAGTTTATATTGAACCTTCTGGATTGTATTTGGAATCCTAATGTGGTGCTTGTGGGTTAATGCGCTAGACTGTAAAGTTGGTTTGAACCACAACGTTGGCAGTTCAAGCTTATCAGTCAGTCCTTGGAATCCCTATACAGGGTCACTATGGGTCACAACAGACTCGACGGCATTTAACAACAGTAGCAGAGTGTATCTGGGGTTGTTGAGAGGTTGACATGGTTATCTGCTAAAGGAAAGATTGTGACTTCAAATCCACTCAAAAGAGCCTCTGAAGAAAGGCCTGGTGATCTACTTCCAAAAGATCAGTTACTGAAAACCCTGTGGAGCACAGTTCTACTTTGACCCATGGGATCACCAGGAGCCAGATTCGACTCAATGACAACTGGTAGCCATAGAGTGCATTACACGGCTCCCCTGCAGTCCTGCTTGTCCCTCATCACTCACAGTCATCAGGCCCCCAACAAGGTCACTGGTGTGAGGATCTTCATCTTTGGTACCCAGCTGAGGGGAGTACAGTTCTGTGGTTCGCAAAATTTCTAAAACCCTGTCCAACGCTTCTGCCACTGTGACAGGGCTGTTTTCTTGGGCTGCATTGATTATATTTATGACCTGACAAAGAAAAGAAAGAAGAAATTAGAGAAGATTAGCATTCTAATTCCCAGAAGTCAGACATGTACCAGGAATCCAAAATAAATCCAATAATAGCACATTCTGTTGTCCAAAATGATCAGTGTTTCCACCCCACCACCTCTGTCTTACTGCAACACAGTTCCCTCTTGGCTGTTGACCATTCCAGCCTGTCCTGGTGTTTCTCAGTCCTTTTGCTGACTCTTCTCTCCTAGTTCTCTTGTGATAGTTGGAGGTACTCAGGGATCAGTCCTGAACCTTCGGTCTCACTCTATAGATGATCTCGTTCACCTCCGTGAACTGAGTCCCGCTCAAACCCCTATCGCCAACTTCTTGCTTTAACCCTCCAAGCTCTATCCACTTTGGCTTTCTTTCAAGCCCTCAAAGGTCCTTTTTCTACCTTATTGGGTTTTCACATACTGTTCCCAGCTGCTTGGAATCCTACTAACATCTTTTATGCTTCAAGTCTTACTTTAAACGTTGCTTCCTCTACAGAAAAAGTTTCCCTGACCAACAATAGCACATAGCATGTGATTTACATGTATATATAAAGGAGCTCTGGTAGCGTAGTGGTTACGAATCGGGCTGCGAACCATAAGGTCAGCAGTTCGAAACTACCAGCTGCTCCGCGGGAGAAAGATGAGGCTTTCTACTCCCGTAAGGATTTACACCCTCGGAAACCCCGTACAGGGTCGCTATGGGTCGGAACCGACTCGAAGGCACTTAACAACAACAACATACACTTATAAATACCACATGATAAATAATTATAGAGTATAATCAGTGCTAGGAAGGTAGACAGCAATATTCTGTGAGTGACTTACAGTAGGGCCTAATTTAGCTAAAGTGAATTTGTTGGTCAGGGAAACTTTTTGTAAGTGTGGAGTCCTGGTGTGGTACTGTGGGTTAATGCACTGGACTGCAAGGTTGGTTTGAACTTCAGGTTCGGTAGTTCAAGCTCACCAGTTGCTCCTTGAAAATCCTATACAGGGTTCCTATGAGTCAGAACCAACTCGATGGCACTTAACAACAATAATAACAAATTTGTAAGCGTGGGTACATGAATGGACACCTTCAGCTGGGCCAAAGAGGTATCTTCTCCACTTGCAGGAAATAGTGGCTTAAGAAATTTTCTGTATTCTCTGCATGCATTTCTTTCTCTATAGTTAGCTGGTGTGGAGCTGTGGATAAGCACTGACCCGAAAAGTCAGTTTGAACTCCAACGCCAGCATTTCAAACGAACCAGCTGTTCCTTGGAAACCCTATACAGGGTTGCTGTGAGTTGGAACCGACTCAATGGCACTTAACAACAGCAGCAATTTGTTTAACATTCTTTACCTCTGCTAGACTGTAAACTCCATGGTATCAAAGACATTTCATTCATCACTCTACCCCAGTGGTAGGTGCCTTGGTTGCAGATAAAGGTGAAGGCAGAGACAGACATTGCCACTCACCTTTGTGATGGGGGCCTCAATGGTCATGGAGTGGATCCTTGCCATGGATGGGTAGCGACGGTTCTGTAGGCTTGGTGCTGGAGAAAAGGCAAGAAAGTTGTCTCTGGTTCTGGCAGCTCAACTGGTCTAAGTGTAAAAAAGGAGTCCCTTCATGGGGGGCCTGATTCTTATAAAACTACCCCCTGCTCTTCTGATTAGACAATGAATTAACCCATCTCTGAATCCTAAAAGGATGACAGCCCAACTACTATTTGCTTGAGTCTGGAAAGGGTGATCTGGGCAGGTAAAGGCTGGCAGGAGGGCTTTAGGAGTCCCAGGTCCACAAGGGGAATTACAGTGAATGTTAATGGGATCCTATGCTCCCATCCCAACACCCAGTGGTCCCCTGGAACTTACTTTCTCATAAGTTACTAGAGTCTAATTTGAGTAGTTCCTACTAACCAAGTTGTGTGTGTAACTGGAAAACTATGAAGTGTGAGAGAGGAGACATGACTCTTGGTGAGGGTGTGGGGTGGAAGGTTGTGTCTAATCTTTTATTTATTTTTTTAATGTTTTATTGTGAATTATGTGATAGTTTACATGGGAGAACATTAGCTTTACATTCATCTTATCGTATATCATTTCACTGTCATGGTTACAATCCCCTCCATGCATCATCAACCAACCAAAGGTTGTCCCCAGGTCGTCAGCACACAGCCCTCTCCCTCTCTGGGTCTAAGTCCCCAGCTGCTCCATCTCTCCACATCATCATCTCTGCCTCCATCTCTGGT